GGTGATCGGGGTTCCGATCGGACGTGTGAAGATCGAGTGAAGTTTTGATGATCCGATCTATGACGCGATCACGTCCCACGTCTCGATCGCGAGGAAAAAGAACTCTGCGACCCAGGGCTGTTCAGCGAGGTGTGCGAGTGGTGGAGATCGTGTAAACTGATATATATATATCTGCAAATATAAATAAATAAATACATGAATATATATATATATATTTACATACATACATACATACATACATACATACACACATACACACATACACACACATACATACGTACATACATACATACATACATATCATCTTGGTACACGGCACCTTCAATTCCACATTGCTCGGGCTCTTGTCCGTGCCTCTGAGGTATAGTGGCTTTGAACTTCTTCCTGGTCCCATTCCTGAATGCTGCTTGGGCAGAAACATGTGTGCTGAAGACCGTCTTTCATGTGGCAGCTACACCTGGGGCAGCTGCGTGAGGTTGAGACGGCTGTAGAATACATCTACCCTTGGAGCCCGATGGGCTGGCACGTTGATGTGGGGCCGGAGGCAGTGTCAGGAATTGGGATTCGCTGGGGTCCTAAGTATAGATGCATGTTCTTGCTGCTCTCGTTCAATCACTCCTTTTCTCCTTTTTGTGTTTCTCTCGGTTCCTCCCTCTTTCTCTGAGATGGCGTGACTGCGTGCAGATACCTTTAAGCATGTGTGTTTAGTCATTTAGTCGACTCGCCTGTGACAAATCGCACCGCTACCATTGATTTCATGCCTGTGCCTAGGATCTCTGCTGCCGCATCGACCCGATGGGTGTGATGCTCTTCGGTAGTCTGGGACTCGCTGTCACTGGGTTCCTGGTTTTCGCCGCAGCATGGCTGAGAGCGAGTCTGAGCTGGCCGAGGGAAGTGAGGTTTCATAGTAGAACGGTAGACCAGTGGATTCGTTCTTGGGGCTGCTGTCGTGCTGTTGGACGTCTAGAAGACTCGGCACTTGTGCTGCGCAACGATGTGCGATCAGAATTGGGTTGCTTGAAGTTTAGATTTGCCATGCCGACTTGATTTATGCGGGCGCCTAGTTCCTTTATGTTCCTTTCTCATGGACAGGTTTGGTCAGGTATTTTGCTTTGGTGGGGGTGGTTCTGCAGCGAATGAGATGCACGTGTGCCGCTACAGTACTGCCTCTGGGATGTCAACTGCCGGCAGAATTTGTTACCATGTGCTTCGCTCTGCTAAGTGTGTGAGCCGCAGTCTCTCAGGCAATTAGCTCGGCCAGCCAGAACTTGCTGCCGCCAGGCTTGTTGTCGAACTTTTCGCATTTTTGAGCTTCGAGCGAATGTGACCGAGACAAGATTCAAAGCCCAAACTTGAAGCCCGTGGCGAAGTTTTTGCCAGACCAATCGGTCAAGTGATATTTGTCGGAGAGCCTGTATTGCCATCCATCTTCTTGGCCCTCTTGCTGACAAAATGATCCAAGCGTATGAAGCAGGTTTTCTCATCTCACACCGTCTTATTTGGAGTGCTAGTCGGTGGCCATTGTGGTAACGGTCGCATGTTTGCTGGGGAGCCATAGGATAGTTTACATTCCCTTGCCGCACGCAGATCCTGCTGGATTGTCCGAGTGTGAGTTGCGCCGACATCACTGAGCTGTTTTGCGAACTGGGAGCAAAGGCTGATTTCGACCTTAGTCCTCGGCCTGGCATATGGCACCATGGTCGGCTTGACGGGCTCGCACATGCATCTCGGCTCTGGGGCCAGTTCTTGCTGGCATGTCTCATACTCATCCAAGCCCGCGATGAAGACGGAGCTAGGTTTCCACCAAGGGGAGAACACAGCTCTAAGGTACATTTTCGTCGCGGACCTCTTCCCGACTTCCTTGCGGGCCTTAGGACTGGTTTGGCGACTTGCAAGTGGCTGAACTGTAGTGCCAGACTCTTCTATGCTGGTTATGCTGGTTGATCCTTGTTCAAGTATCCGGCCATTCCGCAGCAGCATGAATTCCAAAGCGGGTGGCTCTGAAGCCATCAGTTGGCCAACAATTGGGCCCGGCTGTCCGCAGGATACGTTGCTCGGTGTAGTGCTTCGTTGGGGCAACTGACAAGAACATATCTCCTCGCACTTTCCTATGAGTGGATGAAGGAGCATGACCGAAGCAACAGCTTCTTTTCAGCTTGGCGCGATTGCCAAATCTACACGACGATGTCTTCTTTGCCATGGCAAACATAGCTCGTATCTCAGAGGATTCGGTCTCAGCTTCAACCTGGCCTTTGCAATCCTCGGAGGTGTCGGAGCTGGAGCTTGTGTTAAGTCCTTTGGTTCCGGGGTCGGGCTGGCGTTTCAGCATCGCTACTGATGTAATGGCAACTGTGGGAGCGACCTCTAGTCTTCCTGGTAGTAAGACCACACATCTGAATCTGTCTCTAGGGGGGATGTTTTTCGGTTTTCGCGCAGGGGTGGGCTCTGAATGAAAGGAAGTTTACGGCCTTTGGATTGTCACTTTTCGACGGGTCCTCCGGGATCACGGAGCTATGAACCATCAGGAGTCAGAGCTTAAGTCCCGTTCAATCAGTGGTTCTCCTTCAAATATTTGTCAATGAAAAAGCTTTACATAGATCAATAAGATCCTCGAAGCACTGTTTAGGCTGTAGTGTGGGCAAAACATCCTCAGTATTGGCCGATGGCTCTTAACGGTTGGTTGCGGCCATCTGGTCCAGTGGCCTTGAAAGCCTCGAGCGTTCCTGTTAGACCTGGTCCTGAAGCCACGGCCGCTTGAACGTTCAGCGCCGGACCATGCACACCCCGAAGAATCAATAGGCCATATTAGACACTGTTTGACATACGTATATATTGTATGCGACTGCACAAGGCCCAGTCTAAGTACTTGGGCCTGTTCTCTCTCAGTCCACCGCTCGCTCCAGCAGGCACCGCATCTCTCGTGGACGCTTCACTGGCAGACGCGCACTTCACCTTCGGGGTTGCTTGGTTCTGCGCAAAGTCTTTTCTGTACTGTTAGGGTTTGCTTTTGAGGGTTTGGAGCTTTGCGTCCTGTTGGAGCGGCTGGGGAAGTGAGAGATTTAGAACACAGGGGTCCCCATGATATACCCTGTGACAAAGACCCCGAGAAGGCGACCCGAGCTGGGACTGTAGGGTTTGGATTCCCAGTGTCAGACTTGGAGCAGTGTAGGGTTCAGCGTGCAATGCTGCCCCGTTTTCCATCAAGCACGGGCCGCAGTTTCAGCTTGCTTGCGTCGTAATTGCATTGTTAGCGGTTGCTGGAGTTCACTCAGACTAGTCGCGAGGTGGCGAGTACACACCACAACTCCTGAGAAGGCACGAAGGGATTTGTCGAGGCTTCTATATGTTTATACATGTTCATCAAACGATAAAACTTCGAGAAAGGTTACCCGGTTAAGTTTGTGTATCACCTGCTACCAGAAAATATCTGAGCCTGCTGCCATCAGAGACAGGTTGGGCTCTACTGGTCCATTCTGGGCCTCGGCAGCGTTCTGGCCTTGTCAATAGGCGGCCTGTCAGCAAGCCGACCCGGGACGTGCGGCGCGCTGTGTTTTGTCTTGTTTTGTTTGCATTTTAACGTTGCATCGTTTCAGCAGTGCCGCCTGTTTTACTTACCCGCTCGGGCCCGGCTTGCCCTTGATCAACTGCACCATGAAGGTGGAATGTTTCTTGATTGCGTTGTATGGTAATGTATGGTACATGAGGCTAACGCAGATAACGAGATGCTGTTTTGCATTGTTCGATACCAAGAAGCCCTGGGAAGACTTTAGGATGAATCTCATCGTGCCTTTCGTGCCACTGATGCCACGTGATGCCGGCAGTGGGAAAACCGACTGCGAATCAAACGAATAGTACGGAATTGTGACGTTTCTGACCATCCTGTCCTACCTCTCAGCTTTGCCGGCTTGCCCACTTGTAGCAAGCAAGGGTGTCAAACTTAGCAGTTTTGTTGTTCACATGTCATGCATTGTCTGCTGGTTTCTCCATTGTTCTTATCTTACTGTGATCGGTGGCCGGATCACAGGCAGATGTTTGCGCTCGCATGGGCGATTGCCAAGCCAACTTCTCGTGAACAAGGCATGGCAACTTCGAATTGCTGTGGTAGTTCTTATTATGTCGTTGAAGCATATCAAGACCAAGAGTAGAGCACGAAACCCCCCTATTAAAGGCCCCCTCTCTTCATGTGATACATGAACACGAGTCGTTTTCGGAGGTGTTTCTAAGTGGTGTTTTGGCAACGGGTCGGTTGGGAGGTTCTTTAATTTATTCAAAAAAATTCGAAGTTCGCAGACGCAGCCCTGCTGACTGCAGTTCCCCTGCGGTCCCACGCTCTTACAGTCCCCTTCAGTCCTAGGTTCTACCAGTAGCTGCTAAAGCCTGGAGGAGTTGTACCTTCGTCTATAGCTTGTCAATAGTATCATTTGTACCAGAGGAGGGTTAGTGTCAAGGGGATTACGCGTTCGAGCCGACGAAGCCACAAGAGATGTGATGTGAACCCTCAAGGTCATTCCACCTAAGGTCCCTCAGATCTACCGGTAGCGGGACTCTGTGAATCTACCCCTGCAGGGACCAAGCTCCTTTCAGAGATGATCATTATCTGAATTGCGGGTATCGGGGCTGTTGCTGTTAAAATCAAGCCGCAGCGAGCCGTCATCACCAACATCATAACCACGACCACCAACAGCAGCACCTCTTTCACTATAGCAGTAGCATACATCAACATACTAAAAGTCATGGAATCCGCAGTTGCGAAGATACCATAGCCAGGAGCCAACTACGGGCAGCACTAGTGGCCATGGTAGTTGCAAATAGTCTAGAATTGATCAGTAGCATGAGCAGAACCACTATGACATAACATGATGGTTTCAGTCTAACCCTAAAGTAGGAAACATTAACTCCTTACAAACTCACAGCCGCAACTCAGTTTGAAGTCCAGGACAGTGACTCGCCGGGAAGGAAGCTTGATTTCTCGGAAGACGATGGGTGCCGTCGGCTGGTTCAGCGACATCAGTGACGACCTTTTGGGTGTTAGGGTGCTTGCTTTGGCAGGGTCACGCTATGGTTCATTATAGCTGCGGGCTGTGCTTTCGTTGTGAATTCGTGTCATGGTTTTGTTTGGTCGTTGAGGGGAGGTTGGGGCGGAGGCCTCAATAATGCCCCACCCTTACTGAGCATTAACCTAGTCCCAGGCTTCATGATTTCTCATCCAAATGATTACCATTCGGTAGAAAGGTCCCCTTGCCGCCCAGCCCTTACCCAGGGGCCAGAGCTCCGAAAAGTTGAATCGGAACTGTGGTATGGGGTGAGTTTCGGAACTCAACTGCCAAGACCGCTAGCTGAGACCCAGCCCTCACCGCAAGCGCGAAAGCTCACACCCCAAAGACACCACCCTGTAAACCCTGAGCCCCACATCCTAACATCAGACAACCCAGCTGTCGAAGCCGAGATCCCTGACGTCGATCGGGTCTTCAAAACATGAAGGCCGTGATCCCTCTCGGTGACTGGGGATGTTTAGGTCCGAATTTAGAGTTAGAGTTTGGGCTTGTGGTTTTGGCAGACTCATCTTTCTGACTGAGGATTGATGTTAAGCTAGTGCTTGTGTAGTTTGGACTATGGCAGGAAGTTACGGAGCATGATGTCATGTCCGCTTCCATTAAGGGTCATTCGTGCGGTTTTTGGCCGCCCTTGCAGCTTGCCAACCACCAATAGCAGTGGACATGACCTGATGGCATTCACATGGACGTTTTGATGTTTGCCTCACAAAATCTTCGGGCACAGGGCCTTGTGGCATGTATCGGCCTCGGCTTTCGACCGGTAGAGAAAGGATCCGGTGGCTGTTTGGGGTCTTTGTTTTTGAGGGGAGAGGGTCCCTTAATATTATTGTTGTCGTTGTTATTGCTCATGTACACAAACCTGTACATTTGTACACGTCCACATGAAAAAGTATGTATGTGTGTGTGTGTTTGTATGCATGCATGCATGTATGTTATGCTATGCGCATATCAATATGCATACATATCCTCCAACTCCCAACTGGGATGCAGAATCAGGGCCCTTCTCCTTGGAGACTTCCGTCAACGACTCAGAGACATCGGAGGTGTCCCCTGTCTGCATCGCTGAACCCTGTAGGCCTCGAGGCCCGAAGGCCTAGACCTCCTACAACTCCTTCAACCCGAAATTCTCCAAGCTCTGTGGCCCCCAAACCCTAACCCCCGAAGTGTGGATCTCGTGCTTCTGATTCTGTGTTGGCGCATTAGGGCGGCTTTGCTGGTGTAGGGGTTTGGTTTTTGAGCCACTAGGCTGCGGTGTCTTGGGGTACTCGGGGTTGTGTTGTGACTGGGTAAACAGCCCCTGACCCTCGAAGCCTCGAAGAGACTGAAGCCGACGGTAGCAGGAGACCTGACTTGTTCCGGAGTTGCCGCCTACTGTCCTGTCCACTCAGGTGAGAAACGTGGCCGAGGTGAAAAGCTCGGCGGCAGATGGTTGCTCTCTTCATAGCGACAGCCTGCGCAAGCTGAAGCCTGATTGTTTGAAAGGCTCAGCTGCAAGCCGCCAACGGAGCTGCTCACCTTGAACCCTAATCCTTGTGACACGTCGTTGCGCACAATCTCTACCTATGTTTTGACATGTGTGTCCATAATAGTCCTTTGTACGAGGACCCCCCTCCCAACGCTGAAGCGAGGCTGCACGCCTCGCGTAAGTACACAGAGCTCTCCAGCAGGCCGCCTGCCCTCGCGTCACAGAAGCATCTTCTCAGGAGGTGTCAGGGAGAATCTGGCACAGAAGGTTTTTTTTTACCGGAAAGGGGTGTTCGGGTATATGTGCTACACCCTAACTGTATATGGACCCGAGTTGTGAGAGCGTAACTATATATGGACCAAGAAGGGACGGAAATACAGAGTGATTCCGACCCCCGTGTTGCGGTCTCGATTGTTGATACTTTCCTCAGTCCGCTGTCAAGAAGAGGCTTGTGTGAGGTGCCAAGCTGACACGGCCCATGAACAAATAGGTTTTGTGGGTTTCCAAGGGTAAGTGAAGGATCAGGGTTGCTTGGGGGGGAGTTAACCATTTTCTTGAAGGCTTCTGCGAGGAGGCTTCCAGGGGGCCTGGCCTTTATACAGAGCTTTATCCTGCACAGAGCCTGCTGCAATCGTTTCCAGAGCTCTATACTTCAAGTCGTGTCCAGATGTGAAGGCAACAGCTCCCTTACCAAGCAGCATCAGCATGGTACCAGAAATATGTGGTGCCAGTTTCATGTCCTTGCGAC